GTAATCGGATTACAGTAACGCGTTACTGCCCATCAGTGACCACATCTGTAATGTTTTATCACTGGGGCCCCTTCCTCTCATATGGCATACTATGGAAAATGATTGTACACAGTGTAGACCAGTAACTTGAGTGGATTAGGGCTCGTTCTGCATAGTCCTTAGCAGCTGTATGTTGCCACAGTTTAAATCCACAGAGTTTAAAACTCAATTTTATGATTCAGCCGTTCTTTGAACTGTCTTAAAACAGAAAATCATAATCTGTAATGGATTTATTGCCCAGCTCTAATTACAATCATAAACTGCTGAAAATTAGGGACATCGTGTCTGTGACATTAGTCTTCTAATGGGATGACCTCATGGGAACTGAAGCCACATCCCTCTGAAATGATGACATCGAAAAGCCATTGTATCACAAAAAAACTGAATTCATTTTATTATTTAGAGCCATTATACTTTATGTCTGAGTACATTTGACGAAGAACCAGCTACCCCTTTTAAGGACATCTTTTCCATGTTAAAGAAATGCCCTTAACACAAACCCTGCTTCCCAGTACTGAGTTGGTATTGTCACGTGACCACTAATCCTAGATCAGAGCTCTAATTCTGGGAAATGTGTATGAATTGGTCTTGCTGCGATGTAGAGGTGCCTGGAGACTGTATTGGTGGGTGGCCCCAGGAGTCCTCCAGGCAGGCAGGGACGGACACCGTGAGAGACGCTGCCTCCCCCAGCATTGCCACCACCATGGCCAGGGAGCAGCCCAACGTGGGGGACCTCCTCCCACTCCTGGAGACCTCCGACCTCCACCAGCTAGAAGAGATCAGAGGCCTCATCAACGAGCAGCTCAGCACCGGTAGGGCCTCTCTTGTTTAACGTCAACACGGTTTATATATCTGTATTCAGCTTTTTCTAGGGAGCTTTCAGAAATTGTAACTTAACTGATACATTTAGCATTCAGTATGCCTTCTAATCCCTTTTTTCAAAAACTAATTCAAATGATCCTTCCTGTTTTCTTTGAAGAGCGAGGGTCCATGCTGCTGAACGGGCTGGTGGACTACTTTTTGGAAACAAACTCTGGCCAGGCCATGCATATCCTCTCCTCAGTCAGAGAGCCACACGATAAGGTGAGAAACCCTGCTCCGCAAGCTTAATCCCAGGTCACTCCAGGATTTAAAACGGAAAATCTTTGCACAACCAGCGCATGATGAGGCAGCCATCATGCGCATGAGAATGCATACTTAAACGCAAGTATATTTGTCTCTACCCTGTTTCACATAGAAATAAACTTTGGTCTGACTGCGCCATACAGCGGCTGTCACAGATTGCCTGCAGTCAGTTAGCGAGCTTGTTAGTTTGTGCTTGTCTTGGTCGTGGACGGGCCCCAAGTGATTTATTTGACCTCCTGGTGATTCTAGCTATCATTTGCTATTTGCTCCGCACTAGAGCTGCGCAATTCATCAAAATTGTGATATCCAAAACAGCATTATAATAAAGTATATAAATTCTGAAGAGATTCCCTGGCCTACAAATCTTGTTCTACATTTTAAGAAAATATGTTTGTTTGGTACAGACACATCATATCAAATGACATCAATTAAATATATATTGTAAAAATTATCTTTCACACACTAATTGCAAATCATATGTCAATTGCAGTATCTGTCAAAATAATCGGAGTATGATGTTTTCACCATATCTTGCAGCCCTACTTGACACAATACACCATATCTATATATCCACTGTATATATAGATATGTAAAAAAAAACAAAAAACAAAAAAAAAAAACAGAATTCTAAATAAAGTTTCCTTCCTAAGAGGAAAAACTCTAGCTCCCTCATAGTATTAAACACAGAGCTAACCCCACTCTCCCTCCCTCACAGCACCTTCTGGACAAGATGAACGAGTGTATGACCAAACAGGCCTGTCGGCTGCCCACCCTCACCCTGCTCGGCCATGTAATCCGCAAGCAGCCGTCCTGGATTCACAAGATTGCCCGATACCCTCTGCTGCTCTCGCTGCTCAAATGCCTAAAGGTAAGTACCCAGTTACGGTTTGAACAAAGAAATCTCCTTGTGAAGGCATTGAGAGTTTTGTGGCATGTTCTCATTCAGCTGCTTTTAGAATTGATTCTGTCTGACTCTTCCTCAAAAACATATTTTATAATGTGTTAATATCTTGCGAGGTTTTGGCATTACATCAAGCAGCAGGCAAGTCATTTAACAGCTACTTCAGCGAATCTTAGTTTGGATTTATTTAATCTGCACTGATCCTTGTAAAACTTGTGTAGAAGTAGTTTTTACACATGATTTAATACCGGCCATCACTGAGAATGTGTTGTTGAACTGAAACAACCGATTCCTTGTAGGTTTTATGTGATATGTTATTGATTAGCTTTGTCAGACAGTGCTCCTTGGAGAAACACTGCATGTTTGTCTACTCAGACTGGACAGAGGTGATGTTTACAGTGTTGCTGCTTAAATATTTGTTGGTTAAACTTGATTAGATTTAGTTTTTAGCCATGCAAGCAGCGGGGCACTGGAGATGGCAAAGGTGATCTGTCAGTCCACTGCTGTGGTCCCCTCTGGAGAAATTCTAACAACTGACTTTTCATCCAGCGCCATC